CGAGTTCCAACCAAGGCGGTTGAAGGAACACCATACCAGCTATGGACGGGCAAATGCCCGGTTCTGTCACACTTAAAGATTTGGGGCTGTGAGGCTTATGTCAAACGTCTTATGACGAATGGCAAGCTTGACGCCAAGTCTGATAAGTGTTTCTTCGTGGGATACCCAAAGGAAACTCGAGGGTATTCATTCTATCACCCTATCGATAAGAAGGTATTCGTTGCTCGCAATGGTGTCTTCCTCGAGAAGGAATTTCTCTCCAACGCAACTAGTGGGAGAAAGATAGAGCTCAAAGAAATTCGAGACGCCGAAGAAACTACTGCGCCGGTTCAGGAACATGAGCTAGAGGAACAAACTGTTGTACCTCAAAATGCTCAAGATACACAAGAACCCCGTAGGTCTAACCGGTTACGCACACAACCTGAAAGGTATGGATTCCTCCTAACCTTTGAAGGTGACGTAATGCTTATCGACCAGGATGAGCCGGAGACCTACCTCGAGGCAATCAGTTGTCCCGAGGCTGAGGAATGGCGTCAAGCCATGCAATCCGAAATGGATTCCATGTACACCAACCAAGTATGGACTTTGGTTGATGCACCCGAAGGGATCAAACCCATTGGGTGCAAATGGGTCTTCAAAAAGAAGACTGACATGGATGGTAAGGTACAAACCTTCAAGGCACGATTGGTAGCAAAAGGATATCGTCAAATACATGGTATCGACTATGACGAAACTTTTTCTCCAATTGTCATGATTAAATCCATTCGGATCTTACTTGCTATCGCAGCATACCACGATTACAAAATCTGGCAGATGGACGTCAAAACGGCTTTCCTTAATGGAAACCTCCTTGAGGATGTCTTTATGACACAACCTGAAGGGTTTTGTGCTCCTGAAGAATCTACCAAGGTATGCAGGTTGCAGCGATCAATCTACGGATTGAAGCAAGCCTCACGGAGTTGGAACATCCGCTTTCACGAAACTGTCATCGGCTTTGGTTTTGAAAGAAATTCGGATGAATCTTGTGTATACAAAAAGGTCAGTGGGAGTGCTGTAGTCTTCCTTGCTCTGTATGTTGATGACATACTGCTAATAGGAAACGATATTCCTACTTTAACCACCGTCAAAACGTGGTTGAGTAAGAGTTTCTCTATGAAGGACTTGGGAGATGCCAGTTATGCACTTGGCAAAAGGATCTATAGGGATAGATCACGGAAGCTGTTAGGTCTCAGTCAAAGTACATACATAGACAAGGTCCTCGCTAGATTCAGCATGTCTGAATCGAAACGAGGAAGTTTGCCTATAGTCCAAGGCACGAGTCTTTCCAAGACTCAGGGTGCTTCCCTTCCAGAGGAAGTAGAACGCATGAGAAATGTTCCTTATGCGTCGGCCATTGGATCCATCATGTATGCGATGGCATGTACGAGACCTGATGTCGCCTTTGCTCTGAGTGTCACGAGTAGATACCAAACCAACCCTGGCGAAAGCCATTGGACGGCTGTGAAGAACATCCTTAAGTACTTTCGTAGGACTAAGGATGCCTTCCTGGTATATGGCGGAAAAGAAGAGCTCAGTATTGTCGGATATACTGATGCCAACTTCCAGACTGATAGAGACGACTTCAAGTCGGAGGCAGGGTATGTGTTTTGTTTGAATGGCGGAGCTGTTACCTGGAAGAGTTACAAGCAAGATACTACCGCTGATTCCACTACAGAAGCAGAGTACATGGCTGCAGCTGAGGCAGCCAAGGAAGGTGTGTGACTCAAGAATTTTATTACTGAGCTTGGAGTGGTTCCTAGCATCAAGAACCCTATACCGTTGTTTTGCGACAACAATGGGGCAATTGCACAAGCGAAAGAACCTCGGTCTCACCAAAAGACCAAACACATCGTTAGACGTTATCACATCATACGAGAAATCGTTGCACGTGGGGACGTTGAGATTTGCAAGATAGGTACAGACGACAATATCGCGGATCCGTTGACGAAGGCTTTGGGAAAGCCTAAACACGAGAGTCATACGTGGTCCATGGGCATTCGAGAAATGCTTGATTGGCCTTAGGGCAAGTGGGAGATTGTTGTATTTAGGTGCCCTAGCGGCAATCAAATACCTATGTAACTGTACACTTTATCATGAATGAAAGGC